CAATGCTACAAGTGGTGAGTTGCAGAACAATGTTTTCTTTGTAGAGATCAGCTCCTTCATGGAAGGACCCTGGGGAGGGCATCTGTTAAACAGAACTGAACAGATTTCATCGTGAACCAGATCAACAAAGTACTACTTCCGTGGGCCACCTGATAGAATACACGACTCGCCTTGTTATATGGAACCAGACGTCGAGGGCCTTTGCTATGATTTTCTGTAGCAAAAACTGGAAAGCCACACTCATTGGTATGCAACTACGAATGGGCAATTTTTAACCATCAAAACTCAAAAGGATCCAAATTCAATTTCCTTGCACTGCAATCCAAATTTTAAAAATCTCACTGGGTCTGTGTTCAATTACATACTTGGAGAGCAAAACTCACACTATTAACGTAATACAATTTCCATAATACCTTGAGTACATTTGTATGTAAATCAAATTTCTATGAAATTAATCATGCATTCATCCAATAAATATGTCTTAAGCAATAACCTGGGGAAGCTCTACTGGAAGCAAGGGAGAAATCATCGCTCTCCTGGTGGAGGGCGTAGCCTGGTGGAGACAACCGCCCCCCATTCACGAAGAGGAAGTACAGGCTGCTCTGTGCGCACAGCAGAAGGGAGCCCCTCCCACGGCAGAAGATCCGGGAAGGGTTTCTGGAGGAAGTCACATCTGTCCCAAGCCCAGAAGGAGAAATGAGAGTCAGGTAAACGTGGAAAGAGGGGAGAGTGAGGAGAAAGGTCAGAGGCAAGTTCAAAGAACCAAAGGAAGCTCAGGGTGAATGTAAAGTGAAAGGAGAGAGATGTGAGCACTGAGGCTGGAGGCATCTGAGGAAAAGGCCTCGTAAACCACACGGAAGAGTCTGGACTTCATCCAGGGGGCAGCAGGGAGTCTTGAAGGGTTTTAACAGCGCGATGGCTTGGCTGCAGTGTGGAGAAGACCTGGGGAAAGAGCAAGACAGATGGCAGGGAGAACACTTAGGAGACTGTTGCAGGAATGCAGGCAAAGGAAGATGGCGGCCTGGACTCCCACAGTAAAAACAGCACTGGAGGGAAGAGACTGCACCGAGAAATACACAGGAAATGGAATCCTATTTTTTTCATTGATTTTTTGAAAATTTTATTCATTTTTAATTGAAGTATAGTTGATTTACAGTGATTCAGGTGTACAACGGGGTGATTCAGTTCATATATATATATATGTTCTTTTTCAGATTCTTTTCCATTATGTTATTACAAGATATTGAATATAGTTCCCTGTGCTATACAATAGGTCCTCATTGTTTATCTATTTTATACATAGTATTGTGTATCTGTTAATCCTAAATTCCCAATTTATCCCTCCTCCCCTTTCCCTTTTGGTAACCTTAACTTTGTTTTCTAAGTTCGTGAGTCTGTTTCTGTTTTGTAAATAAGTTCATTTGTACCATTTTTTTAGATTCCACAAATAAGCGATATCATATGGTATTTGTCTTTCTCTGTCTGACTTACTGCACTTAGTGTGATAATCTCTAGGTTCATCCATGTTGCTGCAAGTGGAATTATTTCATTCTTTTTTATGGCTGAGTAACATTCCATTGTACATATGTACTGCATCTTCTTTATCCATACCTCTGTCAGTGGACATTTAGGTTGCTTCCATGTCCTGGTTATTGTAAATAGTGCTGCTATGTCATTGATTTTAAATGTATCTTTGGGGACTTCCCTGGTGGTGCAGTGGTTAAGAGTCCACCTGCCAATGCAGGGGACACGGGTTCTATCCCTAGTCCAGGAAGATCCCACATACCGCGGAGCAACTAAGCCCATATGCCACAACTACTGAGCCTACACCCTAGAGCCCACGAGCCACAACTACTGAGCCTGTGCACAACTACTGAGCCCATGTGCTGCAACTACTGAAGCCCGCATGCCTAGCACCTGTGCTCCGCAACAAGAGAAGCCACCGCAATGAGAAGCCCACACACCACAACGAAGAGCAGCCCCCGCTCACCACAACTAGAGAAAGCCCACATGCAGCAACAAAGACCCAACGCAGCCAAAAATAAAAATAACATCAATCATATTAAAAATAAAGAACGAAAGAATATATCTTCAATTAAGCAACAACTGCATTACGAATTAATTTAACTGCCAGGGGAGTTTACTACGATTTGTATGTTTCCCCAAACCTCAAAGGTTTAACGATCAAGAGGCACAGTGGAATTTCAGTATGTTATAACACAAATACAGACGTACAGTGCCCTTATCTTGCCACAGGCAGAATGTGTCTCCAGATTCAGAAATGCTCAGATTTTAGGACGGCACAATGTTGCATATGCTTTGTATTATGCAACACCCTCAGGTAGGGCCTGGGATATCACCCTGTAATCAAACATATTCATAACTTGCAGCAAAATGGATGAACAGTCACTCTAAAGGGAATAAGAGTTCGGGTCAGGTTTTGCTACAAAGCTCAAGTCAGGTCTTGCTGCCAAATAAGTAATAAAATAACTTGAGGTTTTCCAGAGTACGGGGTATTTCAGAATTGCAGACAAGAGACGGTGGATCTATCATCATACCTTAATTCCTATGCTAAGTTTGGATTTTTCATATGAAAACGGTACCCTTAGCAAGCATTTTATTCCAAAGTACTGGAAAAGAGAATGCAGGCAAGGAAATAATTACAAGACCCCACTGGTAACACCCAATTGAGCTACTTAAGAAGGGTATAAAAACCTCCTTGCAGCCAGGCATCAAGGTGCTGAGGCAACCAGAATGCAAGAAAACACTCGTTTTGAGAACAGTCCCATTTCCCAAGATGGTGGGTGGAAAAACTGAGAAGACCATCCTAAGCTAAGGATGCCAATGCCAGTGTCAAGATCCAGAGGGAAGCCCCACAGCCCAAAGACCCAAAACAGGAAGCCCCCTGCAGATGCAAGCCTGTCCTAGCAGAGGAACGGCAGATATTCCCCATCTACAAGGTATTCCAGAAAAGTTATATCCAAGCAGAAGTCCACAGCAGTCAAATCCACAATTGAGAAAAAGAAAGAGACGGTTCTTACCACTGTGACAAGGCCAATTGGTATGGATAAAAAGGGTGACACTGAAGAGTTTAAACTTCTCAAAATGCCCAAATATCACCCTCCCAGAGATATGCTTTGCAAACTGTTGAGCAGTGGGGGAAAAAACCCAACTATAATCAACATGAAAACAACTACGAGTGTTGCTCCTAGGGCCCCGCTGACCATCCTCACTGGCCACCCCAGAGACAAGCAGAGGGTGGTTTCCCTGCAAGAACTGAGCAGGAGCTTGCCGCTTGGGACTGGACCACTAGCCCTCATTCATCTGAGTTCCTTTACGCAGGACACTCAGAATCTGCCATCACCTCTACCAAAACTGACCATGATGGTGTGAAAGTCCCGAAGCATCTCAACAGTGCTACTTTTATGAAGAAGAAGCTGCATGAGATTGGACATCAAAAAGGTTGAGCTCTTCGACTCAGAGGAAGAGAACGATAAGATTCCAGAGCAGAGCAAAAGGCAGACCAGAAAACTGTGGAGTCTCAACTTCTGCCAAAAATCAGAGCCCTTCCTAGCTCCAGGATGGCCTGTGTGCTGTGTGGCCTCAAAAACTAACATTATGCTCACACGCTGGTGTGCTATATCATTTGCAGGGCTCCAGTTAAAATGTCCAAAACAACAACAAACAAACAAAGAGCCTGCTGTGTCAAGGTAACTGCTTTTCTGAAGGCTAACGAATAAATCTGTTAATACGCCCAAATACAAGGCACTCCGCAAGACACAGAGAGCACAAGACAAATATCATGTATGCAACAAATGTCCTAGAACACCAGTGAGCCTAGAAACACACCAAGGTCATTAGTAAAGGAAAGGGTTCCAAGCCCCAGGTGTCAAGGAAGAAAAGCTTCCAAGACAATATTCAAGGAAAGGAAGTTTCAGGACACAGAGACCACAGGTGTGCTGTTGATTCTGAAGGAGCACTTGGTCAGCGCAAGGCCGGTCTCCCAGTGCATCTGTGTGAGAATGTCCTTGCTCAGAAGGCTGGGTAGGGCCAGGGACCAAGGCAAATAAACTGTTTATTCCAGGTCAGAAATAAATGTGTAAAGTCCCCCCAAAATGCCCAGTGGAGGTTCAAGACAAATAGGAATCCGTCTCTCTCTTACCCTTTTCTCTGACGTGAGCTTTACAAAAGTTTATCTCCATTCAATGTAATAGGATAGTCTTGTTTTAAGGGCTGAATCAAGAACAAAAATTGTTTTTAGGATACCTTTTTAATTTTAGGAATCTAAACCCCCAAGAACCTAAACAAGGCCCCAAAATGAATTTTAGCATTCCGTAAGCTATGCTATAGGCACATCAGGAAAAACCATGGCATTGCTCGAAAGAATGAGGCAGATCTGCATGTAGTGACATGGAAAGATGTCAGGGACAAATCGTTCAACGCAAAAAGCAAGCTGAAGAGCAAAGTAGACAGTCATATACCATTTTTGTAAAACAAACTATATACATGTGTTACACGCACAGACATAGAAATATTTTTCCGCAAGGCGTGGTTAAGGGCCAGAAAGAACATACATAACCATTAATATTTGCTTCCTTGGGGAAAGGGATTAGAAAGAAAGGTAGAGCATGTTCCCTTCTATTTCATACATTTCTGCAGCATTTGCATTTTCTTATAATAACTATGCATTATCTCAATTTTTTTAATTTAAAGCAAGATTCTGTTAAAGGAAACAGCAGACTATTTCCAAATAAATGACTTCTCCTTATTGCTCTGTGAGCCACAGCTACAATATCCAGCAATAAATGAAGCTCTTTCTAAATGGGTTAGTTCTTCATATTTAAGACAAGAAGAACAGGAAGACACCTGAAAGTCAGGAAAGCATGAGAAAGAATGAGACGTGTTGTGGGCCACGTGGGCAAGAACCACATTGAATTCCACAGCTGTACTATCTGATTATTGCAACACCAGACTAATTCTAGAGAGATGGAAAGACTCACCAGATAAAGATTATTTTTGTCCTGAAAGGCATACTGCAACCGGGGGATCCAAGGGCTTGTGCTCTGAGATAATATGTTCTGTTCTTCCTCAAAATATGAAACCTAGGGGGAAAAGAAACTGTTTAGACAATTATAAAGAACTAAGTGTGATGGGGAAAATGCCCTTTGCTTAAACTGGTAATTCTAGTTTTGTTTTGTTTTTAAAAAGCCATCACTTAGCCCAACATTCCACAAATCTCATCCTTCTGCCTACTTTGCTCACCATTTTTGCCAGATCCATGTGTCCAATTATTTACTTAATGTATTTCTTTAAAGTCAACTCACAACTTTTAAATCTAAATCTCTTTCTCTTTACCTTCCCTTCCTGAGCAATTCAGTCCTAAAGCCATCAGATGGAGAAAAACCACCAGGTAAGCATCCATGACAGGTGGCAAGGAGAGCCATGGTGGCCCAGAACAGGGTGACTGGTTCAAGCAAGGTGAGGAAGGTCATCACATGTAGGGATGGCCTAGAGCAGGGCATCTGAACCTACCGAGGGGGAAGCAGCAAACACAGTAGATTGGATGGACACAGGTGCATAAAATAAGTGAAAAATATTAAGGGTGATATCAGAGAAGAGAGTTACAAACATGGAAAGTGTGAAAATTACAATGAACCTTGTGAAGCTGGACTGGACTTGGAAGTGTCGATGTGAACACATGGTTTTCAACATATAGAGATAGATACAGAAATAAACAGAGATGTAAATGTGTGTGTGTCTGTGTGTGTGAAGGTAGGTATACTGCATACATGTACATGTATTCCCTGGCTTTGTCCACTGAAAGGCGTCTGGGAGCAATGACATCCCAATAGCAATCAGAACACCTAGTGCCCAGATCGTGGCCTCTAAATACCATTTTCCACTTAAAAACAAAAACAAAACAAAACAAAAAGAGGTCCTTGGAGAAATGACTGATTGCAGGTCTGGGGCAGGTAAAGTAAAAGTGTAAGAGCCTGAACATCTTGCTGTATCAGAAAGCAACACAGAACTCAAAGATGGGGAATATGTCAAAAGGACACAAAAGCCAACCTGAAGAGATTCTTTTTTTTTAATTTAATTTTATTTATTTATTATACAGCAGGTTCTTACTAGTTATCTATTTTATACATATTCGTGTATACATGTCAATCCCAATCTCCCAATTCATCCCACCCCACCCCACTTTCCCCCTGTGGTGTCCATACATTTGTTCTCTACATCTGTGTCTCTATTTCTGCCTTGCTAACCGGTTCATCTGTACCATTTTTCTAGATTCCACATATATGTGCTAATATACGATATTTGTTTTTCTCTTTCTGACTTACTTCACTCTGTATGACAGTCTCTAGGTCCATCCAAGGCTCTACAAATGACCCAATTTTGTTCCTTTTTATGGCTGAGTAATACTCCATTGTATATATGTACCACATATTCTTTATCCATTAGTCTGTCGATGGGCATTTAGGTTGCTTCCATGACCTGGCTATTGTAAATAGTGCTGCAATGAACATTGGGATGCATGTGTCTTTTTGAATTACGGTTTCCCTGGGTATATGCCCAGAAGTGGGATTGCTGGATCATATGGTAATTCTATTTTTAGTTTTTTAAGGAACCTCCATACTATTCTCCATGGTGGCTGTATAAATTTACATTCCCACCAACAGTGCAAGAGGGTTCCCTTTTCTCTCATTGGTCAACTTGGGGACAATTTGAGTATAAAAATATATTATGACAGGAATGGATTGTAACTCACTGACAGGAAAATGCAAGTCCATACAGATATAAATAAATTCATGGATTGAAAGTTTTATGAGAAACAGGTATTTCCATAGTTTGAAAGTATCTCCTTCCAAAATATACGTATGTAATTACAAAGGGGAAAGGAGTTAACTCCACAGTGGAGAAGTGTGGCAGATACCAAAGTGACATCCTCAGGAATGTGACAAACTGAAATTGAGACTCACCTGTTGGGATGCAATGAGAGGAACAGAGCATTCTGTCTGTGATAATCCTGCCTGAACCTGAATCTCAGCATGAGCAACATCAGACAAATCTAAATTTTACAAAATAACTGGCCTACAATCTTCAGAGTCGCCAAGGTCATCAGAGTCCGGGAGAAATGAAGGGACTGTTCCAGCCTGAAAAGACTAGAGGGACAGGACAACTAAATGCCACGTGGGATCCTGAAGTGAATCCTTTTGTTCTAAAAGACCATGGAACAAACTGGTGAACCCTGAGTGGGGCCTGGGGATTAGATGGTGGTAATTTTATCATGGTTGATTTCCTGATTTTGACGGTTGTGTTGTCATTCATGGGAAAACGTCCTTATTATAGGAAATGTACTCTGAAGTACCTGGAGATAATGGGGCATCGGGTTGGTGAGTGATTTTCAAATGGTTCAGGAAAAGGAAGTTGTTGATACTATATGTGATACTTTTGTGTGTCGACTTGGCTAGGCTCTAGCACCCAGTCATTCAAGCCAACACTAACCTAGGTGTTGCCGTGAGGCTGTTGTGCAGGCGGTGGTTAATTTAGTAAAGGAGGTTATCCTTGATAATTTGGGTGTGCCTCATCCAATCAGCTGAAAGGTCTTAAGAACAAAACTGAGGCTTCCCTGAGAAAGAAGAAATTCTGCCTCAAGACTGCATCACCAGCTTCTGCCCGAAAGCTTCCAGCCTCTTGACCTGCCCTACAGATTTCAGCCTTCCTAGTGCCCACAGTCAGGTAAGTCATACACATATGCGTATGTATGTATAGTCAATGTGTACATGTATGTATATTCAATGTGTACATGTATGTATAGTCAATGTGTATGGATAGCATGTATCATATATATATACTATAGAACCTTGACTGACACACTATACTTGGACTTTTCTGTAAATTTGTGACTGTTTCCAAGTAATTTAATTTTAAATACACCTTCTTCCATTTCGTTCTAAGAGTAACATCTGTGAAAGTGCCAGGTTTGGATATGCCAGTTAATATTGAACTATTAAATGTTTTAAAATAGTTCTGTCCGTGTACTGCCCAAAATCATCATGCACACCACCAGTTTAACCTCTAACACATCTGGGAAACACCAACCCAACCCCCGAAATCTACCGTGTGGGATTTGCTGATCCTTCTGTTTTCCTGGCACATAAAAAGTGTTCAGTGAAGGCTGGCTGAACAGAAGGGTCTGCACCTTCACTTGCTTATCACTGACGCCTCATCTGACCCCTGAAGCTTCTATTAAAACAAATGGTCTCTGAGGACCTCTTCCAGTTTTCATGGAGCTCTGGGTGGGGTTGCTGGCTTCTCCTAGGCGACAGGTCTTGTTCACAGGATGCTACCTCTTCTCACCTCCTCTCTGGCACTTCCTTCCCCCAACTCCCTGTGCTGACTTCTCTTCTCACACCCTTCCATTCCAAAGCCTCACCATGGCTCAGGTAAGGAATGGGTGGGTGGGGTTAATTAGCTCCCGGGTGTGTGTGATTTTTAAATCTCCCAGCCCACGCCTCACAAGGGGTCATCTCAAGTCATTCACCTGGAGGAACGCACGCCTATGTGAGTGTCTCTATCACTTGCCTGCAGTATCGTAGACACTGAATTTGCTTCCTTTGATATGCACCATTTCCCACCTGAAATATAAGCAGCACAGCCTACATCTAAGGCCTCTTCCAAGGACCTAGGAACACACCAGACACGACTGGTGCTCAGCAGGTGTGGCCTGATGACAGGTGGTTGTTAGGTGCTGGGTGGCTGAGTGGGCATCTTCCACGCCTCTCTTCCGAATGATTTGCCACGTCCTGTCATTTGTCCTTTCTGTGAAGTTGCCCACATTTCATTCCTGAACGCACGCCACAGCTTTCCTGGATGCTGACAAGCAGCTTCCTGCCCTCCCCTGAGTCTCTGACTGGAGACCACACAAAGTCACTTAGGTACTCAGACCCAGATCCCAGCCGCCTTCTTCCAAAAACCTACGTGATCCCCAAACGTCTCACAAATTAAACTGTGACTCCAAAAAGCAGTTCTTGGGGAGGGTGAGTTACTATTTAATGGGTAGAGTTTCTATCTGGGATGATGAAAAAGTTCTGCAGAAGGACAGCGGTGGTGGTGGCACACTGTGAATTTACTTAATGCCACTGAACTGTACACTTAAAAATGGTTAAAATGGTAAATTTTATGTTGCATGTATTTTATCACAGTAACCAAAAAAGGGTTCTTGAGGTTTCCCACCAATCACCCCCTCCCAACTCCAATATCCTTATTTCTCCCCAACTCCCAGTCTATTCGTTCTAAACCACTTAAACAACAAAAACAAACACACACATCTGCGTAGCGTTCTAATCCTCACACCTCCAGAACGGCACACATGCCACACTTCTACCTGGTACATTCTCGTCACTTCTCTCTGTCCGGAGCCCATGCTCCCTCTCAGCACTGTGAACCTTCCCTAACTGTCTCTGGCTCACCCACACCTCTCCTCATTCTATCGTTCATGAATTTGCTAACTGCTCCCTCTTCTGTGATGCTTTAGCTCCTAAGTGCCTGCTTTACGGATCTGTGCTTTACCTCCACTTTCCAAGGCTGTTCTAAAACCCTGAAATTAACAGCCATGGAGCTTCGATTCCTTTTGCAGGCTTCCCACAGAGCTGGGTCCATTATCAGACACATGATGTGCACCTGAACATGGGTAACTAATAAACTGCTGTCTGAACACCAGGGCTGATGGTCACCTCTCTAGAAACGAGGCAAATGAATCAATACTGTCTGGAAGCAGCAGCCTTGTTTAAAAGAGAGAAAAACACCACAACAGGAAAGATAACTTCTCACCTGCTCTCCAACCAGCAACTCCCTAGCCATAGAACAATTTAATTTCTTCAGAGGCCTGTTTTAAAATCAAATACACATGCCCACAACACAAATATATAAGATGTGTACGAAAGCAAAGGCTATCTGACTCACCCCATAACATGCACATCTCTGAATCCCCAAGGGATGGTCATGAAAGATCATCTCCAATTCATTAGTGAAAAGGCCAAGTTAGTTCTGAATAATATGCAACTATAAAAGCAACTCAGGGGAGCTTGTCAGTCTTCAAAATTAGTCAATGTCAGTTCAAGAGTGTTCAGACCTTCCTGGCTGTGCCACCATAATTAACTAGAGAGGCAGAGGAAAACTGGCTCCATCCCAGATGCCAATTCAGCAGATCCTCATCTCTGCAATGAACATGCTGGTACAGAAAGGGGGAAAATGCTGTGATGTTAAACGCTCCTACCTGCTCCTGGGCCAACAAAGCCTTCTTCTTCATGACTTTCATGGCATAGATGTCCCCGGTCGCTTTCTCTCTGACCACCTGCACTTCGGCAAAGTTACCGCAACCTACCACACTTCTCCCTTCAAAGTCCTTTGCTGAAGGCTGGAGCTCCTGCAACTCAGCTACGATGTCAGAATCTGCAAAAGACGGAAGAGTGACTCCTGATCCATAACGTGCTTCAAATACGCGCATCTTTATGAAAGCGAAAAGAAAGGAAGAAAGAAGAAAGTGTTGCGATGTCTTCCCTAGCTGTCAGGAGACACTTAGTCACTTTCTCGTCGTCGTGAATAATTATAAAATCAGCATAAAAGTGTTTTCCTATGCTAAGTTAAAATTAAGGGCTCCAGAACTTCCAAAGCACAGTTTCCATGGCAGCTATGATTTGAATCCTGTAGACGTAGAAAATAGGGGAAGGAGAACGGAAATCATGCTTTTCTTCCTCTCTGGAGGCTGCAGGGCAGTGTGTGATCAAAAGTTCTTACCAGCATTTAGATCAGTTTATAATGGGATGTAAGCAATGTGATCCCCATGTCAGTCGACTTTGGAGTTGACTTCCAGATCATTCCATTCTGACTACACGTGTCCTGCTCAGTTTTATCCCACTAGCCCAAGTCTTATCTCCCTTGGATCGTGTCAGTAAATACCTTCCTGGCCTTAATATGCAGCCGCGCTACCAAAGAGAAAAAAAAAGCCTGAGCCCAAGGAACCAAATAGAGCCCTGACCCTGGTCCTGCAGAGCTGACGTATCACACACCTGGATGGGTTTGCAACTATCTTTTTTCTTGGCATATAGTCTATTCCTTCTCCGAGTGCAATCTCTCAGTTGGTGTCTTCATCCGCCCTGACTGCTTTAACAAAACACCACAGACCCATGGGCAAAGCGGCTTAAACAACAGGCATGCATTTCTCAAAGTCCTGGTGGCTGGGAAGGCCAGCAGACTGAGATCCTGGAGAGAATCCGCTTCCTGACTGATGGACGGCCACCTTCTCCCTGTGTCCTCATGTGGCAGAAAGAAAAGGAGCCCTCGTCCCTCTTCTTCCAGGGACACTAATTCCATCATGGGGGACCACCTTTATGAATTCATCTAAACCTAATTATCTCCCAAAGCCTTCACATGTTGGGGGATAGAGCCTTAACATATGAATTTGGGGGATTGGAGGAGGGGGCGGAACAGTGAGAGATTCTCAGTGTTTAAAGTATGGACTAAACGGGTGGCAGATTTGGAATCTAACATATATTTATTTAACAGCACTAAGTTGGGGCATCACTGGATTTGCAACAACTCTAATGGTCTAAAGAATAGAGTGGAACATAATTATTAGAGAAATGCAAGTCAAAATTACAATAAGGTATCACCTCACACCAGTCACAACTGCCATCATTAAAAAGTCTACAAATAATAACTGTTAGAGAGGGTGTGGACAAAAGGGAACCCTCTTGCACTGTTGGTGGGAATGTAAATTGGTGCAGCCGCTATGGAGAACAGTATGGAGGTTCCTCAGAAAAACTAAAAATAGAGCTACCATATGATCCAGCAATCCCACTCCTGGGCATATACCCAGACAAAATAATTCGAAAGGATACATGCACCCCTATGTTCATAGCAGCACTATTTACAATAGCCGAGACACGGAAGCAACCTAAATGGATAAAGAAGATGTGGTTTATATATATACAATGGAATACTACTCAGCCATAAGAAAGAATGAACTAATAACAACCTGCTGTATAGCACAGGGAACTCTACTCAATACTGTGTAATGGCCTATATGGGAAAAGAATCTAAAAAAAATATAGTATATATATATATATATATATATATATATGTATAACTGATCCACTTTGCTGTGTACCTGAAACTAACAACACTGTAAATCAACTATACTCCAATAAAAAAATTTTTAAAAAGAAGAATGAAATAATACCATTTGCAGCAACATAGATGGACCTAGAGATTATCATATTAAGTGAAGTAAGTCAGAAAAAGAAAGACAGATACCATATGATATCACTTATATGTGGAATCTAAAATATGATACAAATGAACATATCTACGAAACAGAAACAGACTCAAAGACATAGAGAACAGACCTGTGGTTGCCAAGGGGGAGGAGGGGTGGGAGGGATGGATTGGGAGTTTAGGATTAGCAGATGCAAACTATTATATACAGGATAACAACAAGGTCCTACTGTGTAGCCCAGGGAACTATGTTCAATATCCTGTGATAAATCATAATAGAAAAGAATATGAAAAAGAATATATAAGTATAACTGAGTAAGTTTGCTGTACAGCAGAAATAAACAACATTGTAAATCAACTATACTTCAATAAAATATTTTAAAAAAAAAGAATAGAGCGGAACAGTTATGACTGACCAAATCCTTCAATCCTGCCTGATATAGGGAAACTGCCTCATATAGAGGGTTACACTCCTAAGCAAGACAAGAGAAACATGTAATCAAAATTATCCTGGAGAATCCCTCAGAAAGGTGCCATGGTGAAGACCAAGGGACTCTTGAAATCCCACGGGTACCCTGGAGTGATCCTCATTTCTGTGGGTGGGCACCAGATAAAGCTGGGAGCCACACTCTAGAGTTACAATCACTCAGAGAGTTGTTCACACAGCGAAAGGGACAGAATCCAACAAAGGGAAAAGCCACTTCATAACCACAGTCACTTGTCAACATATTAATGAATTAGCCGATGCAATTTTAATTGTTGTTACCCACTCCCTTTCTTTGTTGCGTGGGTGGAGTTGAATTAACTTAGCTCAAAGGCTCATACGATGAACATCACTGCACTAACCACATCTCTTACTTCAACAGTCATCCTAAAAACACCTTCTTTTGGCCCCTTGAGTAATCAGGCAAGAGGGGTGGGTGGATCCGCATGAATTCATCGTGACCGTTGGAAAACAAAAAAATAAAGAGCACTTTCAGGGAGAATTCCATGCAGAAGCAAAACTGAAAGCTGCATGATATTTTCCTTTTGCCCTGACATCACTGTGCCAAGCCCAGCCTTTCTGCCCTGCCCTCTTCCAAGTTTCTTTCAGATCTAGTACTTGAGTTTTGAATTATTAATTCCCCAAATATGCTGGCTTGAACCTGATTTCATCACTGCTCGCACACAAGGCCAGGCTCTCCTGATTCTGTTAGGCCTTGGGCCCCTGTGTTGCTTACAGCATTGTCCAACTTAATAACTCTGGGTCTGTCGCTGGCAACCACCAGGCATCTCAATCACCCAGGGAGACAAAACCGCTTGCAGGCAACACCATCGCGATGCTCTCAGCATTCTGAGAAACCATTCCACATCACAATGCTGTTATCCAAAGGCTTTTGGATTTTTTTTTTCCAGTTTAAAAAATCTTGTTACAAGTTGGACTTAAATTATATATCAATTACGATTGCTCACTGGACAATGAAAGAACATATCAGAAGTCAGTTTTCACCAGCGGACTTTCGCCTGCATTGGTTTCCATCTACATGTCCAGAAGGTCATCTCCGCTTTCGTCGCTCTCCACTGTCAGCTGCTGGGTCCCCCACTTCTTAACCTCAGAACCACAGGAAGCTGTGTCCGTCATGGGGTTCATTTTGCACACGACAGATTTCATTGTGGTCCGCCCTCCAAATGTGTAAGTTGACCAAAGACACCAAGTGGCTTACTGGTTTTGGTGCCGAGGGTAGGCGCCATTGCCCAAACTTCCTCTGGGGCTTCCTGGCCTCGGCCGTGTCCTGCCAACTCCCTCCCCTGTCCGACAGGGTCAGGCTTGTGGATTATTAAGGTGAACAGGTGAGATGCTAAACTCATGTCTATGACTGTGGAAAAAATAACCCTTCACAACTTCTCTCCCTACCAGCAACTTCTGTGACTTCAAAACCACAGCGACCCTTCATCCCTGCCCACTCTGAGCCCAGTGCAGACTGAACATTGAGGGGAGGTAAAGACCCAAAGCCTGGAATAAAAATGCAGTCAAAGAAGGACCTTGTCAGATATATATTTGGACACAGGAGGCAAAAGCCACCACAGATGAGTGCACTGCTTCCTTTTTTGAAACTCAGTATTGCGACACTTCAATCTCTAGGAATTCATCCTTCACAGAAATGCTCCAAAGACATACATATCAAGATACTTATGATAAGCGCTGTTACAGGAAAAAAATCAGAAACAACCTAGAGGTCCGTTAGTAGGAAAGGGGAAACAGCCTAAGAGTCCACCCACATAAAAGAATATTAGGCACATGTTTAAAAGAATTCAGTAGCTCAACCTCCACTAGAGTCTATGTTCTTCAAGAACAAGTATTTTTTCTGTTTTGATCACTACTGTAAACCCAGTACCCAAAACAGCAGCTGACACATAGCGAGTGCTCCGTAAATACCTGTCGAGTAAATATTTTGCTAGGTGAGCAAACCTAGTGGCAAAAGCATTATAAACATATGAGCCATTTTGCATAAAATTAAAACACAGTAATGTTAGAACATGCAATGGAAAAGGGTTCATGGCTCAAGCTAGTGGATTGGTATGTGGGGGCTCACGACACTCGTCTCTTCACCTTTAGGTATGTTTGAACATTTCATAATAAATATTTTATAAGGACAAAAGAAAAACTGCAGTACTACACACCAAATCGTTAACAGTGGTTATCTTAGGAAAGATTTTGAGGGATTTTCTCCCACTCTGACCTTTTATATTTAACTTTGTATTTTTAAAATATTTTTATTGAAATATAGTTAATTTACAATGTTGTGTTAGTTTCAGGTGTACAGCAAAGTGACTCGCTATGCACATATATTCTTTTTTAGATTCTTTTCCATTATATGTTATTACAAGATATTGAATATAGTTCCCTGTGCTATACAGTAGGTCCTTGTTAGTTACCTATTTTATATATAGCAGTGTGTATATGTTAATCTCAAACTCCTAATTTATCCCTCCCCTCTCCTTTGGTAACCATAGATTTGTTTTCTATGTCTGTAAGTCTATTTCTGCTTTGTAAATAAGTTCATTTGTATCATTTTTTTTAGATTCCACATATATGTGATATCATGATATTTGTCTTTCTCTGTCATACTTCACTTAGTATGATAATCTCTAGGTCCATCCACGTTGCTGCAAATAATTACTTTGTATCATGTTTGCAATGGGGGGGGCTTCTTAAAGTTACATTTTGCCCAAAGTACTAACGTTGTGAACATATGCTTGCCTGCAGCGAACCTAGTTAAGAGGGTAGAATTTCAGCTACTGTCAGATCACCAAGAACAGCCCAACTTTAACCATTATCAACACTTTGTCTGCATGTTTTAATATCACGCTTGTTTATTTTTTACACGAAATATGTGATATACTACTTAAGATTTTGCTACTTATTCTGTTCATCAGCAATAGTCAGTCAACCAATATTTATTAAAACCTTCTGTGAACCAGACACTGTTTTAGGCACTGGGGCTAGAATAACAATTAAGAAACAAAAAGCCCTTCCCTGGTTCCCAGATGCCAGCTCCCTGCCCTCTCTTGGCCCAAGCTAGGGGCACTGCTTCAGGGCTGTATTATTCTGTCTCACTTCCTCCAACAGTCCCTGAAGAAAATCTCCATCTCTATGGCAAGACTCGAGAAACGTATGCAGTAAGAGCTGTTGGACCCTTCTTCCCATGGAGAAATGAAGCTTACATTCCAAAACAGAAAATCAAAGGGGGGAAAAGAGCATACTAATGCAATCACCCTTTTCCAGTCAGAGTCTCTCAACCATACTCTCCAGGAAGCTTCTTTAAAAATATGAAACAGCTCCCTGGAAGAGGATTCTATTAGAAAAATCTATGTTTCACTAAGTCTAGTCCCCTGATTACTGAATGAGTCTAGAAGATCCACTGCTTTAAAGGAACCGGAGGGCGATCTCAAGACTAAAGAAGGTGCATGTTGATAGCTCAGTAAATTAGTCTGTCACATAATTCCTTCCCCTCCCACTCCCTATTTGAGAATTTAAATATTCCACAAAATAAGGTGGGAGCTTATTCAAACAAACACAGAATCATGAACAAATACGCCAAGTACATTTTTAAGTTAAAGGTACACGATATATTAAACGTTGAGGTTTATGGTTATCATTATTGGGTAACATTTATTGATTGTTTCTACGTGCCAGGCAACATGATAAGCCTGGACTGTGCACTAACTCATTCAATCCCTATTGATGAGATAATGCGTTTTCCCCTTTTTTGCAGATGAGGGCACTGAGAACAGACAGGGTACCAATGGTCACTTAGTAATACATTGGTTTAATCCACTCAAAACTTCCAGGTCCTTTGGGCAATGTATATCCCCCTTTCCATGAGGTCCTGGTTATCACAGTGCCCTGGATACCTGGGCACCTAAATGAGGCCAATCACAGTATTCACACCCTGGCCCAGTGACTGGTCAAGGGGTGGGCAAGTGACCCAAAGCAGAGCCAATGAGAATCTTCCCTGGGATTGCATGAACATAGACAGTGGAAGATACACATAGTTCCCCGGCACATGGAATCTGTGGGGCCCTATGCCTCACTGCAAACAGTGGAATGCAGCCAAAGAGATTCTACGTCCCTTCCAGGCCTGAGCCCAAAAAAGGCCTGGCAGCTCCCGCTTTTGTGCTTTTGGAAACCCTGAGTTGCCATGGAGGAGGTCTAGACATCTCTGCTAGAGTGTAGACCAGGGGTCAGCAGCTTTTTCTTAAAGGGCCAGACAGTAAATATTTTAGGCTTTGTAGGCCATATGGTCACGTCTACTCAAATGCCTTGTGATGTGACAGCAGCCCTAGGGAACAGGTGTGGCTGTATTCCAGCAGAACTTTGTTTACAAAGCAGGCATCCCAGGCTGTAGTTGGCCAACCCTTCATGGAGAGACCACACAGAAGAGCCGTATGGAGAGGAAGAGGCCCTGAGATTTCATGGCGAGAGAGAAAGGCCCGCTAGTCCCAGAGTTCTGGGTGGTGGGGGGCTGCCCCGTGCATTGTAGGATGTTTAGCAGCATCTCTGGGCTCCACTCATTAGCTGCCATGAGCCCCCTCCCCGCCAGCTGTGACAACCAAAACTGTCTCCAGATACTGCCAAATGTCCCTGGGAGGCAAAATCACCGCTGGTCGAAAAACACTGGGGTCACGTGAAAAAATACGAAACTGGGGAACCAGCAGTCAACTTCCCCACCACGTGGAAGTCAAGGAGAGTCGAGAACAGGGTGCATTCGTGGACTTCCCTGGTGGTCCAGTGGCTAAGACTCCACGCTCCCAAATGTAGGGGGCCCGAGTTCGATCCCTGGTCAGGGAACTATATCCCACATGCTGCAACTAAGACCCAGTGCAGCCAAATAAATAAATAAATACTTTAAAATAAATAAATAAAACACAACAACAAGGTGTGGGCAGGGCCGATTCATGACTTTCACAGTCCCGAGGCACTTTTGCCTTCGTCAGTCCCTTGCTCCATAAAAAATATATTTTATATAAATATATATATTTTTTATGACTGCATTGGTATAAAGATGAATATAATCCAGAATCATTAAACATTATTAGCCTACCCATATTTTCTTATGATTTTAAAATAAATTAAGTTAAACTAATTACAATAAATTCAATTTATTAAAATTAAATACTGTGGGCGCTAAGCACTGTGCTTATAATGCTTAATGAACAATCAGCTTTGAGTGAGTGTAAAGATGGAGCCAGAGGGTGTTATTTAAGTCCTTGGAACCAGCCATGCCTAAAAGTTGACCCATCCCTGGACTATCAGTTTCATGAGCCAAAAAAATTCATTTTTTGGGATAAACAACAAAGTCCAACTGCATAGCACAGGGAACTATATTCAATATTCTGTGATAAACCATAATGAAAAACAATATATATAACTGAATCACTTTGCTGTACAGCAGAAATCAACACAATGTTGTACATCAACTATACTTCAATAAAATAAAAAAAATTTTTTAATTCACTTTTTGGCCTAAGCTAGTTTGAGTTGAGTTTCTGTCACTTGCAACCAAGACTTATCCGGTCTCCCAGAGACAGAAGGTGGAAGCTGACCTTGAAGGTGAGTCCGTCTAAAGCAGACTTCCCACCCACTCCCACTGACCACAAACGCATCCCGCCCCTGGCATCCTTCTAGTTCTCTCTAAGCAGGACAGTTTTCAAGAAAAAGTTGCCCACACTTACACTTCTGGACAAAGTTGCTCACGTGCTTAATCTTCATCAGAGCAGGCTGACTGCATTCTTTAAAGAGAACAAAGAGGGCATCTAATATCCCTTCTCGGGAAAGAGGAGACATCTGCTGTTGAGTCATGAAGGGTGGTTTCCCCTAAAAACAGCAAACAGCAGATGGAGACACTGTCAATAATGAAAAGCTTTGATCAATAACATCCACGCAGAGTAAATTGCAAGCTACCAACTCGACTAACTGCTCACGACACACGCTAACAACATAATTCGGTGGCCTCGTTCTTTAAAGCAACATCCATTGACAGTCATTAAGTTATCACTTGGACATTCCATCACCGTGGGCTTCTTCCTCCAGCACCTCAGGAGAAAAACTTCACCAGCGTGCCAAGAGTAAGAAAAGGTCCTTCTTTCTTAATGGTCTGAGGCTCGTGGGGACATTTACTCTGAACCCTGCTGGTCCTGTCACATCTCCATGTCTCTGCACTAGGACACAATGATTGCCTCTTCCTCCCTGTGTTCCCAGAGGTTTGCTGACATAACTTCGGTTTAATTGAACAATCTAGGGTTGTGTAAATGGAGTGACTGCACTAAAGCTGAATTTATTCATGATCTCGAGCAACAGCTGCAAACTGGCAAACTGCATCTAGCCCTCAGACACGTTTTGTTTGGCCTGTGGTATTTAAAATAATTTGAGTTATCTGCCAATATTGAAAAATCAGATTTCACACCAAAAAAAAAAAGGGAGAGGGGAGGATTTCCGGCTTCTCGTGAGACCCTGGCAGATCTGGCAACAATGCCCCACATTCCTGCCTGGGGGTGCTGAGCTGCAGCTGAGGAGCGCTGCCCCTCTGGGTAGCGGATGTGGTCTGCATTTCACTGCAGACCTGACTCGCAGCTCTTCCATCTGGCTCACCTGACTCCTTTACACTGCCTGGCCCCCAAAGACATGAGTTTGCACCCCTGGTCTAGAGCAATGAAACCCATGTGCCAAGCTGTGGACCGTGTGCAGGTCTCTCTGCAAAGCCGGCCACCAACAGTTCCTCTAACTCTGAAGGCACTTGCCACTGCACCCACCAAGAGTCGGAATCTATTTCCTCTCCCCGTGAATCTGTGCCATCGCCATGACTCACGTCAACCAACAGAACATGACATAAGGGATCATGTGCCAGTTCAAGGTGGAGCCCTTACGAAGTCTGGCAGCTTCTACTTTTGCTTTTTTGGGGAAGCCATCCACCAAGTCAAGAAGCTTGGGCTAGACCAGGGGTCAGCCAAATCTGGCCCACTGCGTGTTTCTATAAATAAAGCTTTATTGGAACACAGCCATACCTATTAATTTACACAACATCTATGGCTGCTTCTGTGCTACAATGACAGAGTTGACTAGTTGCAGCAGAGACCGTAAGGCCCATGACATCTAAAATACTTATTATCCACAGAAAAAAATTACAAGCCCCAGGTTAGACTGACTGAATAATGAAAGACCTTTGGAGAAGAGAGGTCAGTAGAACCCTGAGGCTCCCCAGCCAGCAGTTGGCACCCAAATGTTCCAGTCCCAGCCAAGCTCCCAACTCAATACAGCCCCATGAGTGACCCCAGCAGAAGAACCACCTAGTTGAATGCAGCCAACCCACAGAATCATAAGACAAAATAAATCACTGTTGTTTTAAACTTTGTGAGTGGTTTGTTACACAGCACTGGATAACAGAAACAGATTGGCTACATCTGAATCACTTGGAGAACTGGAGCACTTAAAAAACAAAAAAAAAAAACAGATTCTCAGGTTCCACCCCAACCTACTGAATTCCAATTTCCCAGTTTGTAGCTTAGAATATGTTTAGTAACAAGTCCTCCCTAGAGAGTCAGACCTCAGCCAGGTTTGTGAAGCACTGGGTCACAAAAGGTCACCCTTCTGTCACTTTAGAGTTCTGCCACTAACTGGGAAACTAAGATTCTTTGTTTCTTCTGTTCCTTAATGAGTTTAAGCAGCTGTTCCCAAATACAGTACTGAGTCTTAACAAAGTTCTCAAGTCTGCCATGAAATAAGAAAAGATGAACACCACATGATGACTCTTTTCTAAAGCTACATGTATTCAAATTGTAAAATGGTCCTTTATTCTGCAACGATGTCCTTCCTCTCACGGTATTTCTTAAAATGTCCTTTCTTTATGAAATAAAGAAGATAATATGATTTTCTTTTTTCTGTGTGTTTTTTACATTCCTTACTTGGCAAAATAGAAAGTTGGCAAACCTGGGTCAGCCCAGCAAATTTGTAAAATTTTGCTGGCTCGAAAATTTTAAAGTCTGCCAACCACTGACCTAGAGCTTGTGGGGAAGTTCTGTTAAATAGAAACTGAGACCCTGTCTAAAGTACTTACCTAAATGGAAAACAAAACCGCTACTCTCTATCCAAACCTCATTAAAAGGGCGCTGGGATAGGGATAGAGTAGGATAATTAAATAGTTTCCAAATCCCACTAGAGGATTAAGGACAGAGAGGGAATTTTAAGGGAGTCTGGGAGACTGTTATAAGCTAATGACCACTCAAGAAAAGAATCCAATAACCTAGCAACAACCTATACTACCTTGAAGGAAGACCAGGTGCATCCAAGTACCAAGTACACTAAAGCCACAAGTCCTGATAGCTAAAACACGAGACAATAGATATGGGCTCTGAATCTTTTTACACGAAGTCAGGAAGTTAATGGTCCTTGAAGAGGAGCATTTCTGCATGTAGCCAAGACAGAAATATAGGTAAAAGGAGAAAGAAACTAGGTGAAAGGGGACATTATATTGAAACCTGAGATGAATTACCATATTTTAGTATATGTTACCACTCTCCTGCTAATATACATGATTTAAGTAGCACCATGACAGTCCCGGTTAGACCATATAGGGTCAAAGGAAGAACTAATGATATAAGCCTTGATGTCTGCCCAAAAATGAGAAAAAAGGTGGTCTTCTCCCCTCCCCACGTTTTCTTTGACTATAAAAACGTAGCCCCTCTTTGCTCTCGGGGCTGCATTCCCTTGTTGGCTGTTTGTATCTCTCACAAGCATCCTATGCTAAGAAACTCACTCTTTGCCTTTTCTGTGCTGAGACAAGAGAACCTGAGCTTCAGTAAGTCCTGACACCAGGTGAGTGGTTTCAATTAAAGGACAGTGGGTTCAAGTCCCCTCCTAAGTCAGGGATCGTGGGTTCAAGTCCAATCTGAGTTTTGGCTGTGTTCAAGTCCCATCCAAGAAGGAATGCAGTTTCAGCTGGAAGGGGGAAAAACAGTATCCTTACCTGTTTATATTAAGGCGAATGTTAGGGTTACGCTACACTTGCAAATAACAGCTTTCCTGGGGGCCGGGTGGAACTCATTAGTTGAAAAAAAAATGATGAATTAGGGGTTTATCCACAATCCTTGCTGTTAAAATGACATTTAAGTACAAGACACACTTAATAAACTCTGACATACTCTGGCGGTATTGCCCAGCAGCTACATACCCACAGAACAAAAACTGGGCATGGCTTTGCCATTTACAAGCTGTGTGATTCTGGGCAAGTCTTTGTCTCCCTCCACATCTGCATATGATAAGGCCTTAATAAATTCTGTCATAAGTTGAAAGTTTGGGAGTAAAACGATAAAGGGGCTAAAAAGTGGTAGCACTCAGTCAGCTGAGGTTAAAAATAGACTATTCATTAGTGAAAAATGGCTCATGACTTAAATGGTGATGGGGATGGTCCCACCTACACTTTCAATCTGTCCCCATTCTGATCTGTTTGAACATTCCCCAATACCAATATCTTGGGAAAAATGTCCTCAAGATCGTATTAGTGTTGAAACTAATATAACATTGTAAAATACTATTACATTTAAACCAGTATAGTTGGTTTAAATGTAATAGTATTACTATTAAATACTACTAAATTTAATAGTATTACTATTAACTATTAAATAGTATTACTATTTATCATCCTACAGGTATCACACAAAAATGCCTTCTTAAATATAACTACTGCTATGTGAACATAAATTTATTATTACTGGGCTTCCCTAGTGGCGCAGTGGTTAAGAATCCACCTACCAATGCAGGGGACACGGATTCAAGCCCTGGTCCAGGAAGATCCCACATGCCGTGGAGCAGCTAAGCCCGTGCACCACAACTACTGAGCCTGAGCTCTAGAGCTCTAGAGCCCTTGAGCCACAACTACTAATCCCGCGCACCTAGAGCCCGTGCTCCCCAACAAGACAAGCCAATGCAGTGAGAAGCCCGCACACCGCAACGAAGAGTAGCCCCCGCTCTACACAACTAGAGAAAAGCCCACGCGCAGCAATGAAGACCCAACACAGCCAAAAATTAAATAAATTAAATAAATTTTTTAAAAAAGCCTATGAGAGCATGTATTAATTGCAAAGAAAAAGATCAGGAAAGACTGCTAAAAAAATTTATTATTACTGTCACTAATACTATTTCTACACTTATTATTAATAATAGTTACCATTTATAAAGGGCTTACCAAGAGCTGGGCAAGAAACTAAGTACTTTACATGGATTATCTCATTTAATCCTCACAACTCTGTAAATTAGGTGTTATAACCTCTATTATAAAGAACGGAAAATGGATTCAGAGAAGGCAACTGACTCGCCCAAGGTAACACAGCTAACAAGTACTGGGGCCAGGGTTCAAACCTAAATCTTCACCACTATCTGTATTGTCCCTTTGACTTACGAATACATAAGTCAAACAAGGATTTCTACTTCAACGGTGTTCCACCTACATCAGAAACAAAAGAATTAGAAGTCTACGTGGAAAAAAAATCTGACAACATTAAGTTTTAATCCTTTGCGGTGATGGAAATGTTCTGTATCTTGAGAGGAAAGGGGGTTTCACAGGTGTGGTATTTATCAAAACTTTTTTTTTTTAATCTAAACCATAAACATCCCTTGAATGAAAAAGATTTCTATATTTCTATAGGATTACAAGTATAGAAATTTCGGTCAAAAGAGTGTCTTTGTTCAATTACTTTTCTTTAATAAAAGGACAAACTTTAGTACTGAAGTCATAAAAAAAGGTCTTCCTTCCAGGGCAAGTTCAGCCACCCACTCCTGTCTGAACAATGGCTCCTTTCCAAAACTATCAGCACATATGAAACACCAAAGGGGATATTCTCCTGGATTAGCCTCAGTCCTATAACAAGAGCAAAGGTAACAAAGAGGTTCCAAGGAAACACACAGAGGTGAGCAAAGTTGGCAAGCCAGTCTCTTACCTGGAAGAAAAGATTCAACCTGGAGGCCCGGCTGGCAATGGATTCTGCAGCACCAGCGTCCGGCAGATTCCGTGCTCCATACTTGAACTTCAACATCTCCCCACTGGTGGTGAAGGGAGATAGGTTAAATGTGTTCTGCAGATTTGAGCAGGAAGGGCTTGAGAGATCCCGAGCTCCCTCAGGATATCAGGAAAGGGAGGTGAAAATCAGCCCCCACTGGGTCTTGGGATGCTCACTCTGGTGACGGAGATTAAAAATCAGATTTTTATTCAGTGTAACAGGAGTAACACTTATCTGACCTACTCTCTTAAAAGTCTGTTTATCTGCCCTCCTTAGAATGTAAGCTCCACCAGGGCAGGGACTTTTATCTTCATATAGTGGGGAAACATATAGCCCGGCACATAAATACTAATAGCTACTGAATATATCACTGAAAATAAGCAAATTACACAATACAGGTATGTTGAAAGGTTTCAAGCGCCATGGGGTTCAAAAAAAAAAAAGTAAAAGAGCAAGATGGGGGAATTGGGGCATGGCAGTGTGTGTCTAACAGTGGCGTCAGAGTAACGTCGCTGAGAAGGTGACATCTGAACCAAAACCTCAAGGGCGTTAAAGCAGCAAGCCTTGCTGATAACTGGGGAAGGAAAAGTATCCCGGGCAGAGGGCACAGCCAGAGTTAAGGTTCTGAGGCAGGACCTAGGCTTCTCTTACAATAACTGGGCTGGAACAGGGTGAAAGAGGCAGGAAGTAGGAGTGATGGATGGGTACGAAGAATATGAAGCAAATTAAGGTCACACAGATTCTAAGGCGCTACCAGCCCCCACTAGTAATGCTGACAGGAGGCAGGACAGAATAAACACAGGACCCCACCAAGCTTGAGAAAGGAACAATTCCTCTGGCCCCAGCATCGCCTGGCCGACCCCTCGGCTCTGGTGGAAGTGGGCCAGTGCACCGCCAGCCTAGGAAGACCCTCCCGACCCCCGGAAGCCCTAGGGGCGGAACCGCCGCCCTCCCGGCTCCGAGAGGCAAAACCGGGATTGGTGTGGGTGGAGGAGGCCCTTCCCCAGGTCTTGCAAAATGGGGTGGAGAGGAAATTGGTCGTAGGGGAACCAGACTCACGCTCAGCCGACCCCGCCAGTCAGCACTCCGCTCCGCCCCGGGCGTCCCGCCGCAGCATTTGAACCCGGTGAACGGCGCGGGTGGGGCCCAGATACATCTGGACCAATCAGCGTTCCCGCTCCTATGATGGACAGTTGTATCTCAACCAGGCCCTGCCCAAGTCCTTAAAGGGACAGAGGAAGTGAAAGAGATAGCCAATCAAATTGTTTCTTCCTTTGACTCATGGCCAATGGGAAACGGGGAGGGAAAACCCGGCAGGGCAGGTCTTGGAAGTTTGAAATTGGCGGTTAAGCACAAGGATGCAATTTTGACTGCGCGTCTATTTGTGTCTGGGATCTCTGGGGATCTCTGGGATCCCGGGGCCGTGTCCCCTGCTCGCTCTCAGGCCACCTGCGAGGAGGAAGACAACTAGGCCGCTCTGCCTGGTAGTCTTGTTCCTCAATCCTGCCTAAGGTCGAAGTACTTGTTACTTTGGTAAACCAGCTGGTTCTCTGCTATAGGGTACAGCTGAGGCAGCAAGTGTTTTGAGTTTGAAATTCCATCTGCCTCGATGACTGATTGTCCTGCAACAAATAGGTGAAGGTATTGAGACTGTATGATAGGACATTTTAAAATAAAGACAAGAACTTTGTCAATTCACTAAAGAGGAAATCCAAAAGGCCAACAAACATACGAAGGTATACTCAACGTCATTCTTAATCAGGAAATGAGAAAACTAAAACCACAATGAGATACAATAACATGCACCCAGATTGGGGCGGGGGATGGGGGAGGAGGTCTGACAGTGTTTGCAAAGATATGGAGCTACAGGCATTCATACATAGCTGATGGGAGTATCAATCAGTACAGTCTCTTTGAAAAAGAGCTTGCCACTATTTCCTAAAGTTATGATATGTACCTTCTATGACTCACTCCTGGGTATATACCTTAGAGAAACTCCTAATTGTGTACACCAGAAGATATGTACAAGAATGTACAAATAGTACCGTAAAACATCATGGCAAAAAACAAAGGAAAACTGGAAGCGACCCAAATATCCATCAGCAATAGAAAGGATAATTTTTTATATTGCAGTGTTTTCATACAGCAATGAAAAGGAACAAACTGCAGCTGAACACAATGACATAATGTCTTTCAAAACAATGCTGAGTGAAGGAAGCAAAACAATAAAGTGTGTCTTTTTATTGGAGTAGAGTTGATTTACAATGTTGTGTTAGTTTCAGGTGTAAAGCAAAGTGATTCAGATACACATATATGTGTGTATACATATATATACACACACATATATATATTCTTTTTCAGATTCTTTTCCCGTATAGGTTATTAAGGTATGTTTTCATTCATATAAATTTCAACAGCGGGAGAACAAAATAAAATATTTAGAGAAGGATGTACATACAGGTGATGAAACCATAAAGAAAGCAAAAGTCCAGAGAGTGGTTACCTAGGGTTAGGATGGTGACCTTTCAGGAGTCATGTTGCTACTATGATCTAGTTCTCAGCCTAGCTAGTAATAATATGGATTTTTGTTTCACAATTTGTAAATTGTGTGTATAGATGTTCTATTTATGTATATTTCTAAAATTTGAAAGGGAGGCAGTCCTTTCTGTACATTTCCAATCCCTACACTAGATAGAACTGGAAACGTGTTATCACATGCAGGCACACACACGCATGCACACATCAGTATAAAACCAAAGCTACAGACTTGCTTAATACACTCTTTTTTCCCCCAAACATAATCCTGGGATAATAATGATAGCTACTATTTATCAAACACCTCTCCCCCTTTTTTTAATCAAGCACATCTCATTTAATCTTTACTATAACCCTGAGAGGGAGGAACTATAATCCACATTTTACAGATGGGGAAACTGAGGCTGAGAGATATGGAGTGACTAATCTTCAGTTGTTCAGCTCTAGGTGGTGAAGCTGGATTTGGAACTTCTGGACTGTCTGACTCCAAATCCTTTCCTCTATACAAAACCTGCTTCTCAGCAGATGTTAGAAATTCTCCCAGCCTCTGCTTTTGTGATGTTGCAAGGGCTGACCCAGTCCAGAAAAATATATGAAAATAACAAATACTTCTAATGACATGAGAGGGTTAACCAAAGTTTGGGGATGGCAAGGTGAAGAGAGAGGCAAAGTGGGTCACAAACGCTGTTGACTTGATATAAAAAATCTCAGGAAGGTGAGAATGTGGATCTAGTCAATGCCTCTGCTGATTTTTCTAATCCAGCCAAACCTGTTAGTTTCCAGGTGTCAGAAATAGAAGTCTTTACCAGAATCTTGGGACTTGTTCATCCTAAATTAGAATACAATGTTAACAGCACCATTTTGCATTTCCCTGAATCCTGCCTACTAATTTCCTATTAGAACAATCGCTGGCCTCTGCAAATCCTTTGTGAAACAGAACAAGGGAAAAACAATAAATAAAATGAATAAGGAAACATAAAGCAAAAACCACATTAACCCCAATTTTCTTTCAGAAGTAGTAACTGCACAGTAAGCATATGAGGAAAGAGAATTAGGAGGAACCAACGGCGGTGTGCCAATACTAAAAGGATAAGACACTGCCAAATAGAATTAACCGTCGTTAAAACTAGATTGATAGGGCTTCCCTGGTGGTGCAGTGGTTGAGAGTCCGCCTGCCGATGCAGGGGACACGGGTTCGTGCCCCGGTCCGAGAAGATCCCACATGCCGCGGGAGCAGCTGGACCCGTGAGCCATGGACGTGGAGCCTGCGCGTCCGGAGCCTGTGCTCCGCAACGGGAGAGGCCACAACAATGAGAGGCCCGCGGACCGCAAAAAACAAACAAACAAAACTGGACTGACAGGAAAGCTGAGACCTTCTCCTTGTTCTTGCGCAGAATGAAACAATGACCACTTTTATACAGAACGTGAATCCATGATGATTATTGTGATGGCGACTCTGGAAGAACCTCATCATCACTGAGTCATAGTGAAGGACTTCATGATGTTCTTACATTCAATTATTCATTTATTTTATTAAAAAAATTTTTTTTATTGTGCCAAGCACTGGGGGTACCAAAAGGAAAAAGATACCCTCCTTGTCAGTTTTTGAAAAGCCAATTATAGTGGGGAGATGGAGCTGTAGGCAAAAGATGGTGAAACTTTGTGATAATCTCCTGTAACAATGGAGACTCCAGAGGGCCCTGGCAACAAGGGAGGGGTGGCAGGTGGTATGTCACAGCACATTCCCAAAACACGAAGAAAACAGAAATGTGATTGCCCTCAGAGCATTCAACTGGGCCGTAACACAAGCAGAGATGCTCCCAGGCACCTTAAAGAGGTAAGAGGAATGACGGCAAGACTCGAACGAGACTTAGTGGAACATTAAGTATTGTACAAACCATGCCCCCGAAGGACAGGAAAAGTAAGAAGCTAACCCCATTCTAGATATAAAGAGACAAAGCCATTCTGGTCCCTTTGGCAAGAAAAAGTTCCTCAAGATATTTTGGCTGTGGATAACTTCTAGGGAATGCTTCTAGAAAGCACCATCAGCTGAGTCCTTTTTTTTTTTTTTCAGCTGAGTCCTTTTAAGAGCAAGCCGTATCCCAGGTATTACCTGTTTTCCCCACCACTGGCATGAGAGACTCTTTCAGGTCACATACAAATGTCATTTATTTTTAAAATTATACATGTTACTGTGTGTTAGGAAAAAGTATAGCTAGCAAATAGTGGCAAACTCTTTTTCAAAGAGACTGTACTGATTTATACTCCCAGGTATAAACCAGGTGTTGTAGGATGTTTAGAAGGATCTTGGCTTCCACCCAGTAGATGCCCTACCCACTAGCATATGCTCCCAGTGGTGGCAACCAAAACTATCTCCAGACATTGCCAAATGTCTCCTGGATGGCAAAATTGCCCAGAATTGAGAACCACCTGTTATAACTGTATGACGTGAAAATTTCCAATGAACACATTAAATATACTTTATTTCAACCAGCAGAGCTCCCAAACAAGTCAAAATACATTTTAAATGTTTTGAAATTTTTAACTGTTAGAACTTTCATTGACACCATCATTTTCCAAATGTTTTCTCCAAGTTGGAATGAGTTCCCATCTATGTTTTTTTCTTCCTTCTTTGACCTTAGACAAAGCATCTAACAAGGAAGAATAAGTTTTGCAAACAAACATTTACTGAGTGCCTACTGTTTGTGGTACTCTTTTAGGTGTTGGGGAGACAGCAGTAGATAAACTGTACAAAATCCTTGACCTTGGGGAGTTCGTATTCTAGTGGGCAGAGACAGAAAATCAGCATGATGTGCTATGGGGAAAAATAATCCAGAAGAGGGACCCACAGAGTGCAGGGGAGGGGTTGCAATCTTAAAGTGCTCACAAACAACTTCATCGAGAGGGTAACATTCAAATAAAGACTCCAAATTTGGGACAAATCCATGCAAACAACTGGGGTAAGAGCACTGCATGCAGCAGGATCAGCAAAGACAAGGCCCTGAAGTAGGATGGAGCCTGACGCATTGGAGAAACAGTAAGGAGGCCAGTGTATGAGTTTCTTGTTGCTGTTGTAACAAGTGACCACAAACATAGTGACTTAAAACAACACAGATGTGTTCTCTTACCGTTCTGGAGGTCAGGAAAACCACAAAGGTCTCACTGTACTAAGATCGAGGTGCTGGCAGGGGTTGCTCTTTCTGGAGGCTCCAGGGGAGAGTCCTTGTTGGTGCCTTTTTCAGCTTTTTGATCCATGGCTCTTTTCTCCATCTTTAAAGCCAGCAATGTAGCAACAGATGTAGTGTCTTCTGGAATCTTCTGCTCTCTCTCTCTCTCACTCTCTCACTCTCTCTCTCTCCTCTCCCCTTTATTTTTTACCTTTCTTTCTGTCTCTGACCCTCTTGCTTCCCTCATAGGGATGCTTGTACTTACATTGGGCCCACCTGGATATCCTCTCCAACTCAAAATCCTTAATTTAATGACTTCTGCAAAGTCCCTTTGGCCAAGTAAGGTAACATCCACAATTGGTGAGGATTAGGAAGTGGACATCTTTGGAGGCTACG